ATGCAGATCTCCTCTAGAGCAGTGATGTTTTAGGGCTGTCACTGGGCAACACGGACTTTCAACTCCCTCCAAAGGTTTTCTATGGGGTTGAGATCTGGAGACTGGCTAGGCCACTCCAGGACCTTGAAATGCTTCTTACGAAGCCACTCCTTCATTACCCGGGCGGTGTGTTTGGGATCATTGTCATGCTGAAAGACCCAGCCACGTTTCATCTTCAATGCCCTTGCTGATGGAAGGAGGTTTGCACTCCAAATCTCATAATACATGGCCCCATTCATTCTTTCCTGTACACGGATCAGTCATCCTGGTCCCTTTGCAGAAAAACAGCCCCAAAGCATGATGTTGCCACCTCCATGCTTCACAGTATGTATGATGTTCTTTGGATGCAACTCAGCATTCTCTCTCCTCCAAACATGACGAGTTGTGTTTCTACTAAACAATTCTACTTTGGTTTCATCTGACCATATGACATTCTCTTCTGGATCATCCAAATGCTCTCTAGCAAACTTCAGATGGGCCCGGACATGTACTGGCTTAAGTAGGGGGATACGTCTGGCACTGCAGGATCTGAGTCCCTGGCGGTGCAGTGTGTTACTGATGGTAGCCTTTGTTACATTGGCCCCAGCTCTCTGCAGGTCATTCACTAGGTCCCCCCGTGTGGTTCTGGGATTTTTGCTCACCGTTCTTATGATCATTTTGACCCCACAAGGTGAGATCTTGCGTGGAGCTCCAGATCGAGGGAGATTATCAGTGGTCTTGTATGTCTTCCATTTTCTAATTATTGCTTCTACAGTTGATTTCTTCATATCAAGCTGCTTGCCTATTGCAGATTCAGTCTTCCCAGCCTGGTGCAGGTCTACAATTTTGTTTCTGGTGTCCTTCGACAGCTCTTTGGTCTTCACCATAGTGGAGTTTGGAGTGTGACTGTTTGAGGTTTTTGGCAGGTGTCTTTTACACTGCTAACAAGTTCAAACAGGTGCCATTAATACAGGTAAATGAGTGGAGGACAGAGGAGCCTCTTGAAGAAGTTACAGGTCTGTGAGAGCCAGAAATCTTGCTTGTTTGTAGGTGACCAAATACTTAATTTTCCACCATAATTTGCAAAAAATTATTCCCAAATCAGACAATGTGATTGTCTGGATTTGTTTTCTCATTTTGTTTCTCATAGTTGAGGTCTACCTATGATGTCAATAACAGGCCTCTCTCATTTTTTTAAGTGGGAGAATTTGCACAGTTGGTGGCTGACTAAATACTTTTTTGCCCCATTGTATATAATTTTTTACAGTTTGGTATAATGGACAGAATAAATGAGAAAAGTCTTTGGACTTATTACAGTGGTGGTACTCTACTGCTTTGAAAATCGTTGAATTTGGTACTTGTTGCATTTTGATGCAAAACCTTTGTCCCAGTACTCTTTGCTTGGTACTTGATGCACAAGCTAGAACTTGGTGTTGGCTGCTTTGTGACTCGCTACATTATTCCTTATGGGAAAAATTGTTTGAAACATATTATTTTTGATACTCATTGCACCTCCTGGAATCAATTAACAATGAGTACCGTGGTATCACTGCAGACCAGGTAGAAATCTTATCAATGAATTAGTTAATGTAATACATCTCAATGCAACAATTTTCAGAGCATCTTCCAATGTATAATTCAACACAAGAAAAATAGCATTGATTGTAATGAGAATTTTTTTGCCAGCATAACACTATAAATACATATTGCTTTCTATACCTTTTTCAAATAGACTCACAAGGATAATGATGGTTTATAAATCGCAATGGCTGGATTCACTCAATATGCTAAGCCAAGATTAAATAAACTGCTTTATTGCTTACACAATATATGAACTTGTCTTGAAAGCAAGCTGGTTAAAAAATGTGAATTCTAGAGCTATAGTTACGTATATGAATGGTACAGTATTTTATTTTATGTCAAGTTACATGGTCAAGTCTATAATTATTTTTTTGCCTTAGTTTTTTATCTCTAAAAAACTGCTGGCAAGAAAAAGAGAAGATGTGCATTATTTTGTATGAACTTTATTTTAAGGTTATCTTTTGAAACAATATTCTGTAAATCTTGATGCTGATGGAGATTGTGCAGAGAGCAAACCCACTGCCTTCTAACACTGAAGATGTTACCTAGTTGGAAAATGAAATGTCTGCAAGAAAACAACTTCAGAGAGCACCAACGTTGTGGCCTGTCAACTGCCAGCAGAGCTAGCAGCAGAGTCAGATGAGAAGGTTGAGGGGAACCTGGGCTGGCTACGGAGCCTTTGGAAGGCTCTGACGAGGGGGCAGAGGCAGAGGCAGAGGCAGAGCTGGGGCTTTCTGCCCTGTCTCAGGTGGAGAAGCAGCTATCTTAGGGCCTTAGGCTGAGTGAGGGGGAGGAACACCCAAGATGCGCATATGGATAGAGAGGAAACGAGAAGAGAGCAATGGAAAGCAATAAGCCGGCTCTCAGGGACTTTCATTTGTGACTAATTACTTTTGGTTTATCCAACGTCAACAAAGATTGTTCCTGCCCTGACTTAAATAAAAAAAGGGCTTGCGTTACTTGTGAGTAAGCAGTTTCTCATTGCTTGGGAAGGCTGGATCAGAACAACCAAGAACCCCATAGTTCAAACCTGAGTTACAAATATTGTCTATTGTGCAATTTGGCAGTGTTGTTTTTGTATAATGACATTGATTTTCACAAAAAAGTTCTAGCCCTTCTCAATCTGCCCTCAGACTTGTAAATGGCAACCGTGGTCCAACTTATCAAAGAGTAACAAATAAGATCATATCACAGTTTAATATTGAGTGCTATAGTATGTCTCCTGTAAGAGAATTTGCAACACAAAACTTATTCACACATGCTATTACCCCACCCTATAAATTTATCAGGAAGCTGCTGCTTTTAAAACAAAATTTATTTCATTACAGGTAAACAGCAATGGTTGCTAAGAATTTCTTAAACAGCAATTTTGGTTACTGGAGGATTCTACTTCAAGTTTGTTCTAATTATCAGATCATATCAACTAATTCTGGTGACTGTAGGAATCAAAATATTTTCTACATTTTCCTACATTCCTACCAGCAACATTAAGAGAACTTGTCCTCTTGCCCTTTTGCCTTAAATATTCATCTATGTGCAAAGTTCCTGACTTGACCTTGACATAATCTGATGTGCTTACTCCCAGAGTATGCCAAGTGGTTAACAATTTAATTATTTTCATCTGTTACTGGCTCTTTTATATTTATTTTAAAAATTATTTTCACAACAGAGTTAATATTTTTTGAAATATTGACTGAGCAAGCATATTTAAGTGCATTGCAAAACAGCAACAACCCTGGTATTTCTGTTATCTGTACCACTTTATTTCTAAAAGTATAGGATCATCACTATCCTATATGTACATGGAGAATTTTTCACATTCATAAGTGTCAGGAATCTTATGCATGAGGTTCAGTGAAGTTGGTTCTAAGAGAAGTAAAAATAATATACCATATAGAAGATAAAATCACACTGAAATGCAATCAGATACATAGACTGGAAGTTTCTTCATGTTGGGGAAAATTTATATAAAAAAGCATAATTTGTGTCAAATTATACAGAAACTGGGAAATTGAGAAGTTTTTTTTCCTGGTCTTCCAGTGAAACGGGTACATGTGAAGTTAAGGAAAGAGAAATGTTCATTTAATAATCTCATAAGAATACTATTTAATCCAACATTTAGTTGCTATGTGATTCAGTTAGAATCCTGCTTGTAAACGTATCTGATTTACTTTGTAAGAATAGATACACTTCTTATCTGATTCCATTTAACTCTGTTTAGGTTAAAATTATGCAAAGGGATGTTGTCATTTTCATAAGATAGTCCTCGACTTACAACCATTCATTTAGCAGCCGTTTGAAGTTGCAATGGCACTGAGAAAAAAGTGACTTACAAGTGGTCTCACACTTATGATCATCATAACAGGACCATATGACCAAAATTCGAGTGCTTGACAACCAGCAGATATTAATAATGGTCGCAGCGCCCAGAGTCATGTGATTGCCATTTGCAACCTTCCCAGTCAGCTTCTGAAAAGCAGAGCCAACAGGGAAAGCCAGTTTGGTTTAACAGCCATATGATTCACTTAACTATTACAGTGATTTGCTTAACAATTGTGGCTAAAAATCATAAAATTGGGTGTGACTCACTTAACCACAGGAATAGAACTTCTTGTCCCACTTGTGGTCGTAAGTTGAGGACTACCTGTATGTGTACTACATTGTCCATATTTATATTATAAAACCTCTGTCAACTATAAAGTGCACCAATTTTTAAATTCGTTACTCTCTCATTGCACTCTACACCACAATGTAATCTACATTCAGCTTTGTGGAGGAGTAGGAAATTTATACCTTTGGGATCCTTGGTGCTTTCTCAGTTTGAGTAATGAAATGTCTACAAGAAAAATACCAAGATCAGAAAGCACTAAAAATCTCACAGTTCAACGCTGAGCTACCAATATTCCCTTCTGTCAAAACTCGTATTTGAAATACTGTCATTTAACAGATAAAGAAGTGAAACTGAAAATGTATTTAATACAGTTAAAAGTTTGTACTTTAACCCTTGTACTTAATTACAAGTTCCAACTCACATGCTTATCAGTTGAGCTATATGAAAAACCCCTAGTTTTACCAATGACACTAGGATTTCCAAAAGTATTTTCTGTAATATGTTACTGATAAAATCAGAATGCATTTCAGTTCTCAGCATCTGGCCAGCTGTTTCTCCAAAGTAACATTTAGCTATCATAAGAAAGATTCTTCCCAGTAACTTGTTAAAGTTGAGTAAGTCAGAAAATAATTTTTTAAACTAATTAAACCAAAATCAGATCTTCCAGAAAGAAGTGTTTCCTTACAGGAAGTGATCGAATGAAGAAACACTAAAATATTGCCAAAGATTTTATAGAGAAATAAACCATTTTTCTGTCTCCTTACAGGTAGCTGTTATATATACTGATATCCTCATTTTTGAAACATTTCAGGCAAGTATGTATTAAAAAGAGTATTTTTGGAGAAGGGGAGTAGGGGGGAGGGAGAGAGAGAGAGATTACATTTGTTTCCTCTTCTGAAGGCAAGCCATAAGCATAATGTCAGCATAATGGAATCAGTAAATTTATCTGGTCTGTCAGGCCAGTTAGAAGCACTGCAGTTAAGGCTATGATGTTCAAGCCATCTTGTGGTACTCCTCAGTCAAAGCCATATTCAGTCAGTTTTTTCTGGAATAAGAATTTTTTTTGCCACTTTTATTAGTCTTTTACTCTTCTAAATGTACCTGCTTGCAGAAAATAATGCAACCTCATAAATATGGTATATAATGAAAAATAAGTGCAGAGATGAGGTTGCCTATAAATCACTGTGACATTGCATTCTCTACCTAGAATTATTTTCATTGCAGAATTGAAATCAAACTTGTAAAACCACATTTTTAAATGAAGCCTGCCTTGCAAAGAAGTACAATATGACAGGTAGATTTTAGATTTCAGGGTAAGGCAGAGAATCAGCACTCTGCAAATCATAAGCAAACTCCCCTGAACAGCTGCAAACTACTTCCAGTGCAGTAGTAATATTTTATTAAGGTGACTAACTATCCCTCCCTTCCCCCTCAAAAAACCAAATAGAAGTGTAAAACCCAGTAATTATAAAACTGGTGGCAATCAAAATATGATGCATTTGCAAGTAGCAAAACAAAATTCAGACACATTAAGAAAAAATGAAATTACATTGGTAGTAACAATCACAAATAAGGATCTAAGTGCCTTGGAAATATAACAAAACAGATTAAATTTCAGATATTCCATTACATAGGGGTAAAAAAAATGTTCAAATGGGGTACTCCATAATTTCCTTTTGATAACAGCTCTTGGGAGGGCATGGCATCTTATAGGGTTGTCGCTCATCTGAATTAGGGAACCATTATTTGGCTTATATATTAGCCCACCTTAGGGGGAAAAAGGTGAATGGCTATCCAAGAATACATCTGGGGTAGGGCAGCCAACATACACAACCAAAAACCCCAAACTAAACTAAAATCCCTCACATATGGCATGGCGTCAGCTATGTTACATCATTTATATCCTGTTCATTCCAAAAGGTAGTTCTCAACAATCAAATACTGTATACCCCATATCAAAACATTCACTTTATTCCCTTTTCTGGATTATTTTATATTTAAAAACCAATTATATACAGCAATAAGGACCACACACATTTCTGTACTCCAGCTGTTCATTGTTTATATTGAACATCTAATTGTATGCCTCTGGAAAATAGCTGACTACAATTTAAAAACTATAAGCAGAACTATGAACATTGCATAGGATTAACAAGAAGCTTTTTAAAAAATATACAATTCTAAATCATTCAGCTGAAAAACCAAAGAACAAGACCAAAGAATCAAACAAGACCCAGCCTGGAGGATGCACGTGACTGAATCAGGAGATCATGAATACTATTTTTTGAAGGGGGAAAAGAGGGATGTTCTTTTTATCTTAAACAAGATGTGATACGTTAATTCTGAAGAATTGCTCTATTAATCCAGATGGATTTGAAAACTTCCTGATCTACAAACTGTTCTATTTAGGGAAGATTACATTAGTTATAGAGAATCTTGGATAAAATGAATTGACTTAATGGAAATAGCATTGGCCACTGTAGTGACTTTTGTTATATCGCTCAAGGGCAGCCTACCGTGGATAATGCTATCTTTTAGAATTGCTTGAAAGGATTGGAGTATAAGGACCGTTCTGCAGTGGTTCCATGCCTTCTTAAAAGGCAGGTTCCAGCTGTTAATTTCCAAGGCTGAGAATTCAGTGATTGAGCTTTTGGTTCCTCCTGTTCCCCTGTTCTTGCCCTAATGTTGTTAACATTTTTTGTGTTTCTTTGTGTTTCTTTGAGCAATGGGTACTGGTAACAGCAACATTAACACTTTACCTTCAGAATGGTAGCCTGTTTGCTGATGAATGACAGCTATTTCAAGATTGTTAACATCTTTACTACCTGTATGAGTGGAATATTGATTCCTTATATATTCCCAAGTACCGGTTTTGTTCTATAAAATCATATACAGCCGGGATCAGGTATAATATAGGTGGTACCTGGTTCAATAGTAGTAACTGCAAGAGGGATCTTGGAGTCCTAGTGGACAATCACATATGAGCCAGCAATGTGCTGAAGCTACCAAAAAAGCCAACACAGTACTAGGCTATCTTAACAGAGAGATAAAATCAAGTTCACGTGAAGTATTAATACCACTTTATATTGCCTTGGAAGACTACATTTGGAATATTGCATCCAGTGTTGGTCACCACGATGTAAAAAAGATGCTGAGACTAGAAAGTATAGAGAAGAGCAAAGAAGATGATTAGATGACTGGAGGCTAAAACATGAATAATGGTTGCAGCAATTACGTCTAGTGTAATGAAAAGGACTAGTGGTGACATGATAGCAGTATTCCAATATCTAAGGAACTGCCACAAAGAAGAGGGGATGAACCTATTCTCCAAGGCACCTGAAGGCACGTTAAAAAAAACAATGGATGGAAACTAATCAAGGACCAACCTAAAAATAAGGACAAATTTCCTGCAGAACAATTAATCAGTGGAATTACTTGCCTCCAGGAGTTGTGGGTGCTTGAGGTTTTTAAAGAGACTGACAACCATTTGTCTGTAATGAACTGTAATGGACTAGAGTTTCCTACCTGAGCAAGAGATTGGACTAGAAGATCTCCAAACTCTGCTATTCTATTACCTTCAGGGTCATCTTCTGGAAAATATAGCCGCATCCATTATAATTAACCCACAAAGGGTTTTGCATTACTGGGAAGTCATTCTAAAATGGCATTGTACATTTGTTTACTTATTCCAAAATCAGACAAGCCAGGATCTGGGGGCTCTGCTGCTTATTTTGGTGAATGGGACCCAGGTTTTCAGTTGCTGCACTCTTTAAAAAAATCTATGTGAATTCTCTTTTAGTCAACCTGTTTGAAGTTCACTAAATTTCTGAGATAGATTAAAGATCAAGGAAGAGCATCAATCCCACAAAAAAGAAAATTGTCTTATTATGAAGAAATTGAATAAACAAGTTAGAGCTTGAGCAAGCTCCAAAGATCCTCCCATCCTCTTCTCTTATGTAAAATAATATTTTACATACTGGCCAGGTTCAATACTGCATTGAGTTAGGGATACAGAACTTTTCTCAGCCTCAGGGCTGTATTTTGGTTTTATGCCAGGGATTCATTCCAAAAGGTGATTTAGTATCAAATATAGTTTTGATTTAATTTAATTTAAATGCAAGTGTAATTAAAGTGAATGTAAATAAATTAACTGCAGTTGGCATAATTGCTCGCTCTTTTTAAAATTATTTTCTCAGTTTTCATCCAATTTGGAACATCTGATTTGATAGAAACTTTAAGAGAGCTTTGTAGACCTCATGTAAAGCTTTTAAAGTCTGCATGTGGCCCTGGGATTATCTGAGTGTACACTTCTATACTAAATCATGGTTTTTTTAACCATACTCTGTTGAATAATCGGGCAGTGATTGGGTTCACATTTCATGCTGCATCAGAAACCACATTTATAAACCACACAGATACAGATGAAACAAATGGTATAATGTAAAATAGGTACTTTGGATCCAAACTCCCCCCCGCCTTCCCAGTAAGCCCCCCCAAGCCAAGTCTGCAACCTCAGAAAAGGACAGAAACTGCAGAGTCCTCTCCTTTTCCAAGGATTTTTGAAGCCTAGTAAGTAAAGAACCTCCATCCCACACCATATTTCATAGTTATCTCAGAAGAGCAGACGAGGTCATTGTAACCTTAAACACATACCAGATGTTTTATTTTCACATTCTCTCTCCCTCCCCACACACACAAATGCCTTGTCATACAGCAGTTCAAATGGATTCCCACCCGCTGAGGTTTTCCTGCCACTTGCAAATTTCACATGCAACATTTCCACTGAAACTCTGTGAGCATTCACAAGTTTTAATTTTTTTAAAGTTTTTGAAGAACAACATTATCTATGTCTGTTTAGCTTAAATCCCAGTGCTGAATGTATTTCCCATGGACATGATGTTCTCTTTTTTTGTGATCTCCGCCCTGCCCATTACTTGTGTCACTTGTAACCTTGCTCCAACCATGAAACAGCCTCAAAGAAAGAAGGAAAAGGTAAAACTGGTCAAAGTAGGAACAGTTCTGTGAAGGTGGAAGCAAGTCAGGCCTTTTGTAATCCACTGTGAATTAATAGTAATCCCATCACTGGTGCACCAGTTGCGTCCCTACCTGGACCGGGAGGCACTCGCAACAGTCACTCACGCCCTTGTGACCTCAAGACTGGACTACTGCAATGCGCTCTACATGGGGCAGCCCCTGAAGAGTATTCGGAGACTTCAACTCGTCCAGAATGCAGCCGCACGAGCGATTGTGGGTGCACCTTGGTACACCCACGTTACACCTATCCTCCGCGAGCTGCACTGGTTACCGATCAGTCTCCGGATACACTTCAAGGTGCTAGTCGTAACTTATAAAGCCCTTCATGGTATTGGACCTGGGTACTTGAGAGACCGCCTGCTGCCAATTACCTCCCACAGACCCATTAGATCTCACAGGGTTGGCCTCCTCCGGGTGCCATCTACCAGCCAATGCCACCTCCCCTCTCGACATGTATGGTTGTGCGACTGTTGTCTACTTTTATTATTTGTATTTTGTTTTTTATGTTCCCCCCTTTTTTCCCCTTTGAATTGTTCGCCGCCCTGAGTCCTCCCGGAGAAGGGCGGCATACAAATAATACAATACAATACAATACAATCACAGATAGCCATACAGGAAAATCTGTAGGAAAATTTTGTTTTTGGACATCATTCTCCAAGTGCTTAGGATCTCTTTTTGTGGAACTTCTGACTTCATGTTATTACCATACTGATTGTTTGCTTCACCTTTCCAATTATGCCTGTTTTCATTACTTTATGGCTTCCCAGGCTATCCATGTTCC